ATACAATGTAAATCATACAAAATTTCATAACTTCTATTTTACATGGTGAAATTCATAAATATTGTAGTCAAATAGTCTGGATAATTAGTACGATAACATACAAAAAGTTGTGTGGTAAAACTTCAATAAATAAAATACAAAAAAAAAAATCAATTTTGAGAATAAGTTAGCAGTCAAAATAAAAAACTTTGAAAATGCAGATATGATGAAAATGAAGATATGATTAGAATCACCTGCTCGATCTATTTTTAAAAATGCAAAGTGACCCGAAAATTAAAAGCCCATATTTCCCTTTCTTTCCTCTGCGTTGCAATTCAAATAAGAATTTAGATTTTTTTTTTCATTTTCAATTATTTTCTAAATTTAGATTGTTACAGATTTGGCGGTGGTCGGTGGCCAAGTGGAGATCCAATAGTGATGAGGGGCTGAGCAGAGATCTGTCGGTGATCAGCGGCCGGGAGGTGGTCCGACGAGGGTCGGCGATCAAATAAAGATCCAGCAACAGATTGCTGATGTGCAGAAGTTTGGCTGTGACCAGTTGACAAGAGGTTGTTTGATGACGATTGAAGGTCTAGCAGCGGTCGGCAAACGGGAGAAGGTCCGGCTGGGATAGGAGGCCCAGCAGTGGTCTGATGATGGTCGATAGACAGGCGGTGGTCGAGTGACGATTGGCGGAAGGGCGTTTTTTAGCAACAATCAACATAAATTCATTAGCGGTGGTGCTTGGGTTGAACTTTAGGATCCTTGAAGTCTCCTCTCTCCAATCTCCGACCAAAAGGTTTAAGCTTTCGAAGATCCCACTCATGTAGAGAGTAGGAGTCTATTTATAGATTTGTAGGAATAGAATGCTATATAAATATGGAGAAAATCCAGGGCAAATTCAGAGTGCTATATCAGAAGGCCCATATTGATCCCCTCGATCATAGAATGTTTGTCAAGCATCTATGTGTCCAAATGATGTTAGAATATATTGATCCTAGGTTCATTGGATTTGTCCCGTCGAGCCGCTCAATTCGATTATAAGCATGTCATATCTAGAGATTATTTGGTCATCCAATTAATACTTTGAACCTTTCAAATATACTTTGGTCCCTTGATTTGGACTCATTTGTGCTCGGATTAGACCAACTTTGGTGTCATTGGGTTCATCTCATCGAGATGTTAAATTTGACTATAAGTTGGTTGATCCCAAATTTAATTTTGGAAGTTTCTAATTTAATTATGCCTCGAGATTTGTGCTTGATCAAGGTAATTTTTGGTGACGTATCAAGTTCCTTATGGTAACATAAATAACATCATTTGTTGGATTTCTCTCTTTTCTGCCGCCTCTTAAAATTAATATATTCCAATCATAAAGTTTCACTTAGCTTGTCACTCATTTCATTTGCTTGCTCATCTAATACGCTATGTTCTTCTCCAACAATCTGACATTTTCAACTATGAAGATAAGAAAAATTTCCTTTGTTATTATATAAATACAGTTTTTACTGATTTGGTTGCATGGAGGAAGTCATACAGCTCTACAGAATGTCTTTGCAATGCTTCATTATGTTTGGGAGGCGGATTTCTCGTAAGTTTCTATGATTAATTTGACTTGAGCTATATTTGGAATGGCTTTCTTACTGCTTTTTGAAGCAATTTTTTTGGTATAATATTTTTTACTTTAATATAATTTTTTAACGAAAAATTACTTTAGGCTTCGTTTGGGACGGCTTTTAACTACTTAAAGCAACTTTTAGTATAAAAATTTTAATTTTTAAACAAAAAAGTTGTTTTCAGAAGCAATAAAAAGTAGTCCCAAATGAAACCTTAGAAAGCAATAAGAAAACCGTCCAAAACAAAGCCTTAATGAACAAATTCAAAAGGGGTTACTCATATGGATCGAGATTGGGAGATATTAAAACAATTATTGTAAGTTGATTAATTTGACTTTCTTATAATCTATTTTACTTCAGAAAAAAATAATAAAAAAAGTTTTTCACATCTAATTTCAGAGACAATTGATGTATTTAACTAATATTTAACCAACATCATCAACATTTGATGTTAAGGATCAACCAGCATTATTCATGTTCTTAATTATATAGAAAAACATATGTAAAAAAGTTGGGTTTGTCCAATTTTTTTGCAAACAATCAGTCAAGAGGATCAAAATAATTATGATAAGTTGATAAGACTTCATAATTCATACACAAACAATTATATATAAAAAATCCTATTCATCATACAAAAATAATATCTAAAAAATTTTGGGGTCCTCAAATCTTATATCTCATGATGTGACTGACGTTGATCAAAGAACCCGGGGAGAGGAGTGCGATGTCGGAGTGGAAGACTACTTGCAGTGGGGAGAGGATTTCATCACGTTGAAGCATTCACAGACGTCGGTTTCCCGAGCGGGGATGGAGACGGAGAAAAAGAGAAATTGTAGAATGAGTTGTTTTAACTTTTTATAACATGTTAGGTTATATATATTCTCATAGATCATTTGATCTAAATCATTGGCACAAAATGCATCCCTTTTTTAACCACTTGATTTCTAAAAATTGGCACCAAATTTTTAATTTAGCGGTCTGATCGACGGTTTTCATATGAATCCGATTTTGTGAGATGACCCAGCTGGCCAATTGATAGGTTCCTAGTTCAACTGGTTGAACCGACCAATCCTGTTTGATTTTTAAGACCCTGCTACTGACCTTATTTATACTGGAGAATCACCATAGGACAAGCTCTTCAAAATAGTTGAAAATAACTAGCATTTCAAGTTGTTATTGATGTCCATCATTGATGTCATAGAGTCTAATGCCAAAAATAATTTATTTAGAAGATAAGGATGTCATTAGAATTGAAAAGTTAAACTTGGATGAAACTAAGATTATTAAGAATGATAATCCCACCCCTAAATTTCCTATGGAGTGAAAATAAGCATCTTAGTCACTATAAAGTGCTTATTATAGGATATCCATCTCAATGTATTCTAGGAGGTCTTCTTAAGAATGAAATAGATTATTTAGCATTTATATCTTATATTAAACCATTAAATATTGAAGAATCTTTTAAAAGATGAATCTTGGGTCATTGTAATGTAAGAGAAATTAAACCTTAGGAATTATAGGTGTGAACTAGTTATAAAACCAAAAGAATCAATACATAATATGAATTGTGTGGATTTACTAAATAAGAAAAATGATTTAGTGGATCTAATTAAAAGTAAGGCTTGCTTATTAATATAAGATTATAGCCAAATTGAAGAGATAGTAGCATGACTAAAGGCTATTAGATTATCTTTAATGTTTGCTAAATTTAAATATTTTAAATTATAGCGAATGATAATAATAGTGTATTCTTAAATGAAGTTAATTAAAAAAAAAATTCTTTGTAGACTAACCCCGTGGGGCTTATTAGTCGTGTTCACACTGAATGCCTAAATTAAAAAAATAATAATAAAACTAAAATAAACACCTAGAGCATGTTTTGTTTAGTTAAATACCTTCTTCATTAGCTTTGGTTTTAGCAATGGTAAGGTAGTTAGCACCATATTTATCAAAAGAATTAATATTAGCATAATTATCACTCAATTCTTTGTGGATGACATTCTATTTGAAACCACAAAAGAATTGCTATTTAATGAATTTGCAAGTAAAATGGGTAAGGAGTTCAAAATGAGTTCGATGGTAAAATCTAATTTCTTTCATGGACTTGAAGTAGAATTGAAAGAAGAAGACATCTTTTCCATCTCAAAATTAAGGTTTGAAGGTAACTAAAGTTTGAAGGTTGAAAGATACAGAGCTATTACCCCCTCTATAATATTATATTCATAATAAAGTATAAATCTATCAAGGTAAATCTATATAGAGTTATCATAGATTCCGATTATATTTCATAGCCAGCTGACTAAACATCATATATATTGTTAGTGCTGTCAAAATCAAGTTATGGGTCTTGAATTGACCCGACACTGTTCGACCCAACCCGTTTGGTTGATTTTTTGGACCCTCGGGTCAACCCAAACATGACCCGTTCACACGTTTATTCAACCAAATCCCGTAAATGGGCCACCACCGGCCTGTTTTTTGTGCACCTATTCAGCCAAATCCCATAAATCGGCCACCGCGGTGCTCCTTTCACGCGATTATTTAGCCAAATCCCATAAATCGGCCGCCGCCGACCTGACTTTCGCGCACTTATTCGGCAAATCCCGTAAATCGGCCGCCAAGCCCCCCACGGCGTTGTCGGCCTCCATTCTCACCCGATTATTCAGCCCAAATCCCATAAATTAGCCGTTGTTAATCGCGACGGGACTCACACTACGCGACCCACATCACTCATGGAGCGATTGTCAGGTCAAAATCGGGTTAGTTTTGAATTTCCGGATCAACCCAAATCCGACCCAATTTTACAAACATGTCTAAATCCCTAATCCAAATGCAACCCGTTTTGAGTTCAAGTCAACCTGAACCTAAAAATTTTCGGATCAAGTTCGAGTCAAATTTTCGTATTGCATCAAATATTGACACCCCTATTTATTATAAATATCCATGTTAGATTCAGACTTCATTTGGGATGATTTTCTACTACTTTTCAAAACAATTTAAAAAAAAATAAAATCTTTATATAAAAAATTACTTTAAAAAGCCATACGAATCCTTAATCATAGAAAATCTTGCCTAATAATTAAGACGATTTTGAAAAACCTATTTGGAACTTTTTTTTTTTTAACCTATTTTGAACTTGAGCTTCATTTGGGACAGCTTTTTTTATGCTTTTTAACAGTTTTTTAATTAAATTTTTTTTTAATTAAAAAAATTTGTGCTAAAAAATTATTTTAGAAAGCAAGAAGAAAACTATCCCAAATGAAACCTTAGAATCTGCATAAGCTTAGAGTTTGTTTTGAATCAAACGGAACAACGTGCAGCAAATGGAAAATGACAATCACCCTATTCATCCAGTTCTAACATCTGCGAACAGCAAATCATGAATCAGTCCGTAAAGAAGAAAGCTAATTCTAAGAATGGAAGCCTGTTGAAACATGTTATAAAGTTCTAGTAATACATAATTCAGATTATCACAACTTAGTGGCATTACTAAACATTTGCTTCTGCCCTTCATCCTACGGTTCAGAAGCTATCCTTCAAAAAAAGGGTTACTTAAATCCCTTAAAAGATAGCACAATAGTTGCAGAAAGGCTCTCTAATTAAAAAAAAAAAAAGGCTATGACAGTTAAATCATTACACACAAGAAACATGAGATCTATTAAGAATGAATAAAAATATCTATAGAACTTCCTGCTATAATCTCTTCTCCATCACTGGTATCAACCAATCAATCTATGGCAAATTCTTCAATCTTCATCCTCAGTCTCTTCATCATCCCTGTTTGCTTCAAGGTATCTCCAGCCATTCTCTTCTTCTTCGTCTTCTTCTTCTTGATCTTCTTCTGTTTCCTCACTGTCCTCATCTAGCTCTTTGTTTTGCCTCCGTTTCTGTGCATCATTAGAAACAACTGGATTTGGACTTGATACTCTTTGTTTTGCAACTTTAGCTGGTGGAAGTTTCCTGGACAGACTAGCCTTGCCCCTCTTGGAGTACTTATTGTTAAGCAAAGCATCTTGGTCGTTTAGTTCACCATACCAATGCTCACCGGCGGTCATCGGAGCAGTCTTGTAACCTTCCTCGGGATTATGACCAGGGTGTTCCTTTCTCAAATGGAGATTCAGCTTATATTCATGAATATAAGCTTTTTCACAGCCAGCAAATGGGCAGACATAAGGACGGTCTGATGAGGCAGAATTCAAGACAGGAGCCTTTGCAGCATTGCTGGGCTTTTCTTGGGGCCTCATGTCCACCATTGCATCCTAAATGATTTCAATTAGAAATGGGCCTTATCATGAGACAAAGAATATGTTGTTTGAAAGAAGAAAGCTAACCAACTACATAGGCTCTTGCAAAGTCTGCATTTGATGTCATATTCTATAGGTTAGAAGGCAATACCTTCTCATGCTGCGTCTTTATATGAGTGTTCAGTTTGCATTCATGAGTGTATCTTTTGCCACATTCAGGGTAAGGACAAACATGATAGTTTTCTACTGAATGTGTTTTCATATGTGCCCTCAAGTTGAAGTCCAAAGAAAAGGCCTGCATTAACAGCCTAAAAAATCAAAAATAAAAGAAAAAATTGAAAAAAACTGTCTCAATTTGTGGAGTAACAGGGATACACATATGATGTCCAATGATACGAGGGGGTGAAACTGCTCAATGGAGCTCAAAATTTTAATATACAAATTCAAAGCCTGATGGGTGGTTTCTTGCTTCTAACCATGCAGATCAAGTGAAGGTTAGCGTTTCCAGGTTTGTGTTTTTTTCATCACACGGTGTGCATGTAAATATGGTTATAAAGGAAAGGTGGAGCAGGAGTACTCAACCATGAAAAAAAGAGCAAACTTTCTCATAATTTACAAGTCTCAACTTTTCCAATGTTGCTAATTTCAGCCATATTTTACATGCATAAACTTGTATCTCCACCTCCCCCATTAAGTTTACTGAACAAGAGCCCTGTCTTTCCGAGCTCGGTGTGTGTTCTTCTACCATGCAAAATTCCAAATTCCATGCAAAGACAATTTGGCTCAATCTAATAGTAGCACATGATTGAAGGCGTGAAAAAGAGGTACTAAAATGAAGAAAAAAAAATGCTGCAACCATGGTATTGCTCCATTTTCAGTCATATATCATCCTAACAGAAGCAATGAACCTCAACTCAGACACCCTGAAGTAGAACGATAGGTCCTGCATGGACTCATTCTTCCCGTCCCCCGCACGAAGTAACCCGTCCCTCCCACCCTTCCAACATACATCTTCATTGAATCAAACTTATTGACAAAGATCTCGAGAATATTTATGAAATTAATCTTAGAAGGACAAATTTGCAAAAACGAATTAGGTGGGGACTTAATTGCAAAAAATCTAATATAGAATTTCCAAATAAGGAGGGTTGGCAAAGAGAGGAGAGAAAATTATTTAGAGAGCATTGAGAAAACTAATATAAATTCCCCCAACAAAAATTTTCTCCTGATCCTACATTGCTAATCACCTTTCGTGGGAATCTAGGACATAAAAAGCAATTTTTAAGAGATAGCTCCTATCTTCTAGTTTCTTTTGATGTTACATTGATCAAATAGACTTATAAATGTTTCTTGAGAAATTGACTAAAATGATCCCTAAACTCTTTGGGAGGGACAAAAATGAAAAAAAATTATGTTCAGTGAATCCCTCTCAAAGAGTTAAGAGATCATTTTCTCAATGTTTCTTTGATCTCTATAATAGAGATCAATTTTGTATATGAAATAAAATTATAATTGAATAGAATTTCATTTCTAAGCTCCCAGATTTCCCCTGCTAGTGCCTCCATGTCCATGTTTTTTTCATTACACATATGTGGATTACATTATGAACGGAAGGTGGAGTACTCAACTATAAAAAGAAAGCCAAACTCATCATAATTTACAGGTCTTCACTTTCCAACGTTGCCAATTTCAGCAACATTTCACTTTCATAAACTTGAATCTCCACCTCCCTCACTAAGTTTCCTGAACAAGAGCCCCATCTTCTCGGCTATCATGCAAAATTTCAAATTCACATGCAAAGACAATTTGGTTTAATCTAATAGTAGCACCTGATTAAAGCAACAAAAAAGATGTACCAAAAATGAAGAAAAATTATGTTGCAACCATGAGATCATTCTATTTTCAGTCATATATCACCCTAAAGAGGCAACAAACCTCAACTCACACATCCCTGAAGTAGAAACCATAGGCCTGCATAGAATCATTATTCCAATAACCGCATGAAGTAACCTTTTTTCCTCCCCTCCCCTCCCCTCCCTCCCTCCATACATCTTGATTGAATCAATCTTATTTAAGAGGCTCTCAAGAATTTTATAAAATTAATCTTAGAAGGACAATTTTGCTAAAATGAATAGGGTGAGGACTTAATTGCAAATATTCTAATTTAGAATTTCCAAATAATAAGGTTTGGCAAAGTGAGGAGAGAAAATTATTTGAAGACCATTGAGAAAACTAATATAAATTTCCTCAACAAAAAATTTATACTTATCCTATATTGCTAATCACCTTTTGAGGAAATCTAGAACATAAAAAGCAATTTTTAAAAGATAGCTCCTATCTTCTAGTTTCTTTTGATGTTGCATTGATCAAATAGACTTATAAATGTTTCTTTGATCTCTATAATGGAGATCAAGTTTGTAATCTAAATAAAATTATAATTGAATAGAATTTCATTTCTAGTCTCCTAAATTTCCTCCCCTCTCTCTCTCTTCTTCTTCTTCTTTGTTTCACCATCTTCAACACCTTCAACCGCCAATTTCTCCTCTGCCAATAGCCTCACCTTCTTAACTAGTAGCCACAAATCCTCAAGTATCTCATCCAGCCATGTGTGTGTATGTATATTCATATATAAAAATGCATAAATGAAGATAAAATCACAGTCCTATATATATATTTACGCGCATGAATTCATATAAATGAAGATAAAATCACAGTCCTAATTGTTTGATTTTTGTTCCCAGTTGCTGTCCTCATCTTATGAACGAACATAATAAATTCATTCATTGCTTAAGGAAGAGAAGTAAGGTAAAGTACATCATCCTACAAATTATCCATTAAATTTCTAATTCCTTAACCTAAATACTTCCTGCTATTCCATATTCCTCCTATGCCTAAATTTTGGATTATATTTTGTCTTGAATAAAATTCAAATCCATGTTAAAAGTTTTTCACAATTAATCAAAGACTAAGCAAGTTACTCTTGATTATGATTATATAGAGAGTAAAATTTATGACTATAAAAGGCTATTGCATATATAATTGAAAATCTTTTCAATATAGATGAATAAATGGCTACCATGATGGTTGCCTTTGAAACTCTTATTAAGATAGCACAATCATCATACGGTCCACTACATCTCCAAACAAGAGCAGACATATAATAGAAGAAAATAGCCTAAACAGGAGAATCCATCAACAAGGAAGCAAGCTTGGAAAACCATAAAAAAGAGAGATGAGATGATCATCCCTTCAAAGTAGAGACAAACTTGGAGTTTACTTTGATGGAGCTGTCGAAACTAAAGATAATAAACATTAAGTTTGAGATTCTAGAAATATATTTTATGGTTTAGGGTTTAGACCATAGGAAGAAAATCCAAATTCACTCATTTGAAGTTGTCCTTATATGCTTAGTGTGAGAGAATCAACAAATCTAAAAACTACGATCAATCAAAACATTGGCATTATCTGCGTTTAAACAATTGTTAAAAAGCTCAAATCTATCGCATCTATCACAAAGAAGAAAAGTGCTTCTGATAATAGAATCTGAAGCAAAATAAATGGCAAAATGTTCAAGAAGAAGCAATAAAATTTAGATGATGATTTAGAAATTATGTCAAGGGAACACTTTGTATTCATGAAATATGTAGCAAGACTTTGCAAAATCCTTTGCATAGAATTGATGATCTTTCCAGTTGTTGATGTCCTTGAAACTAACACAAAAATTTATAGCAAAATAAGAAAGAAGTAGAATTCATTCCCTTGGAAAATATTCCTATCTTTCAACTGTGAAGAAGAAGATTGAAGTGTGTGCTACAAATGAGCAAGCCGAGGTATAAGCTTAAGAAATTTTTGAATTTGTATTCAAAGAAGAGGCCAAAATTGGAGAAAAGGGGAAAAACCCTTCGCTACTACTTCACAATAAAAAGTTTAAATAGAAGTAATAATGATAGATCCTACATTGGCCCTAGGGAGAATATTTTCCACCTTAAGCTTCAGGTAAAATATACACTCATCTATGCTATTTTGGATCCAAACATTGGGAAGGATCTCATCGCTTAGGTTGGGAGCTCGAGGCTAGTCACTACCAATCATCCAAAACCCTATTCTCTGAGTTGATTTCAAAAGAAAAGTATTTGTTAGGTCACTAGATAATGTGCTTTTAAAACTTTCTTTCTCAAGAGATTTCATTGAAAAGATAGCTTATGAAATAGTACAACTCAATGTATGTCATACAATATTTTATAGACTTTATTTAAGGAATAAAGATGCTATCATTTTTAGAAGACAACAAAAAATCGTGCTTATAAAGTTATAAATGAAGGAAATAAGTGATGTGCTTCTTTGTTCCACCATTAGATTAAGGATACCATCAAGCTAGAGAATCCTAACATGAAATCAATAGCTTTATTCCCAAAGTACAAGTACCATGTAGTTTACTTGTTGATATGCATCCGATAAAGGAGACTTAACCCAAGTATGCTCAGAAGCCCATATTTGCAAGGAGGAAGAGAAGAAAGAACTAGATCAAAAGATAAAAGAAAAGGAGTTTTCAATTGCATGAGCAAATGACCAAAAATGGGCAGCCAAGATCAAAGAGGCTCTTAAGAATATTTACAAAATTAATCTTAAGAGAATAAATTTACAAATATGAATTGAGTGGGAATTTTCTTGCAAAAGTACAATTTGGAATTTTCAAATGAAGGGAAGAAAGGAGATAGGAGAGATAAAACCAAGAAAACTAACCTAAATTTACTTCATAAAATTCTCCCCCTTATTCTACATAGTTGATCACCATTTAAGGAGAAAATATGAGAGAGAGTGAGCTATATTTTAAAGAGAAGGTTATCATATTCTATTTTTTCTTTAATTGAATAAATTTCTAGGTATTCCTTTGATCTTTATAAATAAATATCAAGTTAATAATATGCAGTGAAGTTTTGACTGAATGGAATTGGATTTCTAATCTTCTAAATTTCATCTCCTCTCTTTTCTTCTTTGTTTCATAGGCCCCTATACCTTCAACCACCAAATTCCCCTTTGCCACCAATCGGGCATTTCCCCTCCTATACCAGCAAATCATCCAACTACGGCACTAACTAACCAGCCATTGGTCTATTATTATTCCCAGCTATTTTTGTCTTCTCTATGGGGTCCAAAACAGTGACTAAAGGCAGTAAAGAAAGACAGAATCCATAATCTTTTAAATTATTCCAAATAAATCATAATACCTTGTCCTACATATTTTCTATCGAGTATGATGATCTATAAGCCTTTCATACCCCAATTTTGGTTCACAATATCTTTGAGTTCTGTCTCAACCCAACACACCCAATGGATATAGAATTAGCAAACAAAATTAAAACTAGTGGACATAAATACAAACTAAATGTTATAAAGACTTGTTATAATTTGGCCAATCTTATTGATAAAGAATCCTAGTGATGCATTTTCTTGAAAACAAAAATGATTAGTAAAATGTGAAACAGAAGACTGTGTATACAAAAATAAATTTTATTTATTTTGAACTTTTTCTTTACTAAATAAGGAATAATGTTGAGCACCATTGGATCATTTCACAATAAAAACTGTAAGAACATGGACTAGTACATAAAAGTTGTCAAAATCAGTGGATTTTTTATCTCTAATTGATTTCATTTTTGCATGAGGATCACCAAGAATATAGAATTAATGTAGAATGATTAAAAAAGCTTGAACAAAATTTTAAATTTGGCATATAAATGAACAAAATTGAACATTAGCCCACTAATTAATTTACCTTCTTAAATGTGCTCATTTGTTGTAAGAAGAAACATGCTAAAAGCTCAAGAAAAGGTGCATCTAATGATGATTTAGTAGCTTTTTAATAACATACATATGTTATTATATGAAATTTCATATACTTTATGCAATTCAAAAATCAATTATATTACTAGAAGTATAAATATAATGAAAATATTGAATAAATAACCAGATAGATGGAATAAAAATCTAATTTTATTTTTTATTAGAATTTGATGATTAAAATAATAAAGAAATGCTAAATTGATAAAAAAAATCTAGTTTTTTTAATTGATATTGTATAATGAAATATTAAATAAATAGCTAGATGAATAGATTAAAAAAATAACTTTATTATTCATATTTCATGAAATATTGGCAATAAGACTATTTGTTTAAATTATTGGCATCCTACATATAATTATTTAGGCTTTGATTATGGCCAAAAATGGATAAGAAAATTAATAAATAAGATCTTGAAGCTTGGGTCATGTTTCAGCTCAACTCGAGATAGATAACAAAACAAATAAATTTACTTGAACAACATAGTACTCAGTTTGATTCAAATTTTTTATAACTCTACAAACACAATAAACCAAAGGTAAGGTAGCTAAAATTTATGAAAAATATTAAAATAAAATTTGTATAACACTTCCCGTAGAACTCGACAAGAAATAATGGAAAAGAATGATTCATAAAGATGACACTAAATAGTTGGTATAGGAGTACTGATCACGACAAGGTGAAAGTCATGAAATTGATTCAACACTTGAGTAAAATATGTTGTTATAAAGGCAAATTGAATAAAATATGTTGTTATAAAGGCAAATTGAATAAAATATGTTGTTATAATGCGCATTAGTGAAATGATGTTTTACTCCAAGCCAAACTGACAAAATCCTTTCCCTACATCCTTATGCTTCTAGACTCCCTCAAGTATTTCTAGGTTCCTTAATACAAACATTGAAATCTATCCACTTATATTGCCGTTCCCTCTCTATGGCCGCCTAAAACACATAAAATTCTAAGCCACTAACACAACACAATTCCATCTTAATGAAACCTTTCCTTAATCATTAGTTATCTTTTCGAGGGCATACAACTTTTTAGCCCAACTCTAGCTTAACCATTCCTGTCACCATATTGGCAACCGTACCAACAATACAACAACGAGTTACAAAAGGAAATTTATATAGCACTGGTGTTTATAATAAAATATTGAAATACATATAAACAATTTACTAAATCTTCCCTAGCCAATCCACAAAATCAGGATGGAAAGGAAATTCAATGCAGACACATAAATCTTATTTTTATAGCTAAGAGTGGAAAAAACAATCACCTTACCACAACCTTCATATGGACAATAATGACTCTTCTCTCCAGTATGGATAAGGTTATGCCTCTTCAACTTGGAGCTGTCCAAGAATTTCTACGACAAAGAAAAACAGAATTCCATTCAAAAGAAAAATAAAAACTGAATGTTTGTCAATCAGAAAAGCCACGCAGTCTACACCTCATATTGTCCAAAGAAAAATCATCGGTCTACCTAAGAAATGAAATCACAAAACATGATGCCTAATCGAACTTAATCAAATTTTTTTGCCAGTTTTCTTCTCTTGATTTACGAAGCAACATTTTATTTCAACTGCTGTAGTAGAAACTTTGGCCTTATTCAAACATAAGTTCAACAAAACCAACTTCATCATAAGGTCCAGCTGTGTCCAAATTGTTCAAACCATGTTTTAAAAGGCATAGGTGCAAGTTTGAGGTGTTTTTCCTATCAGGAAACTATCATAAGCCCAATGCACAAGACAAAAGGTCCATGAATTTTATGTTTAAATATTTCATAAATAAAAAATTATGATTAAAAACTCAAATATAAGAGAAAACAAAAACAAATCCCACAATTCAAAGTCAATAACCATATGATTAAATTACCAACAGTTGCAAAGAGGCCCCCTACAATAGAGTTGGAAAAATGTAGCATCATTGATGCCTCATTCTCTTCAATGATAAAGAGCACCACCCATGATCTATTATATCATGAAGGCAACCAATGTATGTCAAGCTTAAGGCTTCGATGATAAATATAGAATGAGAGAGATGAAGGCTGATCAAGCTTAGAGTAAGGTGAAAATGAACAACAAGTTGACAATGGAGATGAAGAGCTGTAATGGAGTCGTGAGTGGAAAGCCAAAGACAATCATGAACCATGCGACACAATTAGATGAAAAAGAATCAAAATTAGTGCTTTGATCTTTCTGCAGATTTAAAAAAGAGGAATTAATTTAATAAGCTTAACTCTTACAAGATTAAAATGCAAATAATCTTTTTATTCATATCTTATTTAAATATATCATAAAGCTATTTATAATATGTCAAAAAAAATTAATTAGATAAATTAATATAATTTATATCATAAGACTATCGAGTTGCCAATAGAGTGCTAAAGTCAAGCACAAGGTGATGTCTCGGCCAACAAGGCATACGCCCAACAAGTTAAATGCCTCCCTTGGTAACCATGGAAACTTACTTTGCCCCTCCCAAAGGAAAGCCCCAAATGCTTTTCAAAATATTGTGTTCAAGTTGAAGTAATTGGTCACAAACTGTGACAACTAATGTATACTTTAAGTATATAGTCAATTTTAAACAAATATGTAGTATAAGATACTATAATTACAAAATGAATACTTTTTACACATGTCAATACTATTTTGTAAAAAGTGTTATGTGATACTAATAGAACATATGATCCTAACCTTTTAATTTTAAAAAATAATCCAAATCATTCATTGTCTTCTACCAACATTAAATTCTTATATTTGAATTCTAAGGGTTCATAGAATTCGAAGAGTTAAAATTCAAAGAATAAAATTATTTCTATAAATCTATTACAAATAAATCATGAATGCATGAAGTACACAGTCATAGGAATACTAAAACTTAAACCCAATTTTGAATAATGACCCTTGGATAATTTTGTCATAACCCCTTATTTAAAACTATATTGTGTCTACAAATCTTCATGCAACCTATATATATACTCATGTGATCACTTTGGAATGATAAGCCAAGCTATTTGAGCATAAAAACTCCTTCAATTATCATTTTTTACCTTGTTTAATTTTTATATAGTCATTCTTTTTTTCCTAATTTCTATCACATTTTGCTTGCATTCCTTTTTATTTTCCAATTATTTTGCAACAAAAAGTTATAATCTTCCAATATTCTCAAATGGTTCAAATATCTTTATATATTAAGCCATTATAAATTATAGTGATTCACAGAGACACAATAATATAATAATTAAATTAAATTAACTTTATTTTTTAATATTATTGATAATGTATTCTTAGGGACTGAACATTTTTACTAGTTCCTTCTAAAAAAGTAAATTGAGCATATATGCTACACCACTTTGCCTATGCATTATAAATTGTTTCAAAAAGTGTCCTGATAAAAATTAAGAGAACTAAAATCAAGCTTTCCCAATTGTCTAGTTATTTGATTTTCAAAATAATGAAATTCTTTTTTGTTGGCATTATGGTAAAAGACAAGTTTTCATGCATGTGCTTGGCTAGTCACTCGACTGATTTGGACAGCAGAAATAGCAAGCAAGACTTAGTTAACTAGGTTTAGAATAAAAGCTGTAGGATAGCTTGGTTTAGGCTGCAAGCAAACAAAACCAGATAATACTGGGCAGCACCAATTGGATTTTTATGGACTGAGTGCCACCTGAACCAAACCTATAACTAACAATGCCCAAACATGGTGCAAAACCAGACTTCAATGCCAACCTACTTATCCTTGACAACTTTTCCCTCAAATCCCTCCAAAAATATTCTACCAAGCCAAAACCAATTCAAAGAAAAGCAACAAATTCATGAGTTAGTCATGCCAGGATTTCAAGAATTTTAGACTTAATCGGTCCCTAGACATTCTGACTATCGCCTTAGTTTGCAAAGTTCTAATTCACAACCCCCAAGACACCTTGAAACATCATTACCTTTCCACACCCTTCAACAGGGCAAACATATTGTCTCTCCCCATGGATATGAGTATGTTTCCTTAAAGCCCCAGCATCGGTGAAAGTTTTTCCACAGCCATCATATGTGCAGAGGAAAAACATCTCAGTAGCTGGCTTAGGCTTTCGCTCTTGTAGCTCAAGCTCCTTGGTCTTCTCCCTTAAAGCGTTCCACTTGTCCTCTGCATTAATATACATTTAAATTTATCAGGCCTACAAATCTCAAGATTAAAACAATCATTAAGTAGAGACTTTACAGTAGAAATAAGCATTAGCCAAAATAAAGTAATAAAGTAATAAAAAGCCAAAATGTAAAAAGGACGGGCATGATTGGAATAAAGAGAGGTGTGACATGTCCTACTTATTAACTTAGGTGCTGGTGCACTAGCATGCCTCAGGACATACAGCAGAATTCATTTTAGACAGCAAATGTAGCAACATTGCTTGAGCATCAAGCTCACTTTTGAGTAGCTTTATTACAAATTTGTTATAATCATTGCTTATGTTATAATCATGTTTCCTTTCGCCATAAGATGTGCGTTCCAAGTACAATGGTATTACATTATAAAAACTTTGTACTCAATTCTCTTTAATCATTTTCCTCATTTCTTCAACTTTAGCAAATTTCATCTTCCTTTTTTCTACTTTCATCATAAAGGGCGGGCATCAAACTTCCTTATTCTATTTTATCTTCTCATATATCCTATCTTCACCCTTTTTCCCATGTTATAATTACTAACTTCTTTATTTGTTGCATGAAGCATAGTTAAAAATAATTTTCCATTTACTATATAATATCAATTTCTTGCTATTTGACATATTTGACCTACTCTGATATCCTTGATGAATTATGGTATCATTTGCTTTATTTTTAGAATAAGTATTATGACAGATTCGTTGTTTATTAATTAGTAATTTGGCATGGTTTTTAATTAATATTTAGGGAACAATTCTTACATTTATAGCTTATGAATGAAACTATTTAAAAATTTTATGCCTAAGCCCTTTTCTAAGGAAACAAAAATATATTTTAATATCTAGGCTTACTCTCATCACCTTAAAAATAGTTGTTGCCTGCCTCATAGATAGTAATCATGCATGCCTCTTTCTAGATTGACTACCTTTCTTAGATGCACCTTTAAAAAGAGTTGATTCCTGCCTCATAGAAAGTAGGCAACACATGCCTCTTTCTAGCAAGGCTATTGTTTCTTCATTGCAGTTAATTCCTATTCGTTGTCAACAGATGTTGCATTTTGATTCAAATGTGTAGTAGCATTCCACATTTTAAGTTATGAAAATAAGCCATCAAGATTTTATTTATGATGTTATTCCTTATAGAATGGTGCCTTCCTTTAGAAAGATCACTTATACTAACACAAGTAAAGACAATAACCCTGAGGTTTATTAATATCAGTGGATAAATCAACATTTTTTATACTCACTATTCAACACAAATAAATTGTATAACCAACTGAAAAAAAAAATTACATTAATCCTAATAACTCAATCATAGAATAGTCCTAATATGGCAGGCCAGCCAAGTAGAATTCAGAATTCCAGCCAAGGAATAAAAAGAGGTGTTTTTGGCTAAGCTAACAAACTAAAACCTACCAAACCCTAAATTCATCTCAAACCAAATAGCACTCCCGACAAAATACTGCTAATGAACGGGATCATACAAGAAGTGACTTCAATATCAAACAAAACAAAGTAGCAGTACCATTTAAGAAAATTTTGGAGCTTTCACCATCAGAAGTAACTTAATTTCCGCTCGCTACAACAAAGACAGCCCACAACAAAGTGTCAGCCATAGTGTTTCTAAAAGATAGCTGATAGGAGAAGAATCAAGGTAATCTTCAGTCTCCGGACAACTTTCTATTCCATCATTAACCCCATTAAAAAAAAAAGTGAGAATGATAACAGCAAACTAAACTTATAACATACAAGAGATCATGAGGATAAACATGAGAATGTTGCCCAAAAAAAAAAAAAAAAACTTGAATTGCTTCTCAGAAGCATAACATAAAATCTACAAAAACTTATTTTTTTCATTCACAGGGAAATAACAGAAACTTCTCGGCACACCTGTAACCCATTTGAGTAAGTAGCACTTCCCGCCGGTAGCAACCACATCCTGCGGAACCCTAAACACCAAAGTAAACAGTTTAACCCCGAAACTCCAACGAAATATAGAACGAATAGATAGACGAGATGGCCAGGAAGAGCACGCACCACTCCTTGACCCACCGAACGGTGGGACTCCTCGTCTTAGGATCCAACCTGGATCGATCCTCGTAAGACTCCATCGCTGCCACGGTGACAACCTCTCTCCCTTCTCTTTCCGCCTTCGAACGTGTGGAATTGTGGCTAGGGTTTCGAAAAAGGTGCGCCGGAAGGCGATGGGGTTGTCATGCGGAACGAGGGTGAGAAAAAAGAGGAAACCGTCGAGCACAAGTAAGAGCCCACGAGATCCGGATCCATTAAGAGAAGGAAAAATCGCCATGAATCGATCTTTCCTTCCACTCGCCATTGCCCAATCCCATGGCCTTGGCTTCTTGCTATGTCCATTGCTTTCGGTTACGGACAGGTTTATGCTGTGTTGTGGCTTTTACGGGAGAGTTTACCGAGTCAGACACGTGAGCCCGACCCAAACTAACCCGAATTATACCTGTCTCAATAATTCGTTTCATGTCATCACAACTGCATTGTTTAGTGCATCTCCAACCGAAACTCTCATTTTTCACTCCAGAATGCAGTAAAATCAAAACGTGTCGTGATTCATCTCCATTGGAGCATCTTTTTGCCCCAAAATCATCGTCGTTTCTTTCGCACTTTTCTTAGACGTAGTTCGGAGGGAGAAAGAAATGGCGAAAGTGAACAGTGCGACACCAATATTGGCGTCGCACTGTTCATCAGCGACTGAATGCAGGCAAAAATGGAGTTCGGTTGGTACGTCTGAGGCTCTCCATTCGCCTGTTTGCCGAACAGCTGGAGAAGGCCTTTCATTCAAAAATAATTTTAAATATTTTTTATAACTTATTTTAATTATTATTTTTTAATATAAATATAATTTATTTTTCTATTTTACAAGTAAATTATATTATTATTATTATTATTATTCAATGGAGGAGATATTTTGGTGTATATTTAGTTCTTAAATTATCTTCTCTTTGAATATTTTAGCAAAAGATTAAGAAAATATAATATTATTCAAATGATCTATCTCATCATTAATGGTATTAACCCTATGAGCTTAAGGTTACAATTAATATTTTAATAATCACAAATATAATTCAAAATGAGCTAATATTTTGAGAATAGTAATTTTGTTGGCATCTATACTATCTATATTATACTACTATATAAGAGTGGCTTGGGATTCCTCCCAAATACAATATCATCCTTTTATTTTATTTATCAAAGATGAAACCAAATCATTCATTTTATTAGCACTTTAAATTTATTTTTTAACTTTATTTAATTAAATGCATGATGTTTTAATTATATTTAAGTAAAAGCTAATTATTTGAATGCCAAAGGATTTAATTGTATTTATTTCTATATTTAAATATAATTAGTTAATATATTTGTTTGCATTATATTTTTAATTTTTACTTATTGGAGCAATTAATAACATAATTCATTAATTAATATTCATTCAATAATAATCGTTAAAAATTCATAATTTTAATAACTAATAAAAAATTAAAGCATAAGTTTTAATTAATTATTTTATTAAAAAACATTTACATCTATATTATTATTATAAAAGCCATTTGAGTTTTACTCCCAAATCAAATATTAGCCTTTCATTTTTATTATTCAAACAGAATCCTAGCCTTTGATTTTATTATATTATCATGAATAATTGGTAATTTTAAAAATAATTAATATATTATTACTTTTCATATGAGCAAAATTTCATTTAAGCAAATAAATGAAGAAATCATTTAAATTCTTTAAAGCTTCTTAGTCTTCCTTTATTTAAATATCTATTTGTATTCGGCTCTTTGTATCCCCTAAATAAAAGAATAAATCATTTAAATTCTCTAATACTTCTTAGTATTCCTTCATATTAATTAAATACTCATTACTCTGCTATTCGTTTTCCCAACTCTTCCTAAACTAATTCTCAACCATAAAATAAAAATGACAAAATATTGTTCATGCATTCTATCGTAACCCTTGGGGATTCCTACGTGCACCATTCATATTCTCTCATATTATACCAGACACCAAACATTGTCAAACTTTTGACCTCTATCGCCAACCGACTTTGGTCATTCCGATCTCCTTCATCTTACAATAATCTTTTTGATAACTATCGTCTGCCAACTACGGTCCTTCCAACATTCATTGCCAAAAAATGATCTTTCTGGCCACTATCGTTCGCCGACTACGGTCCTTCTGACCTCCATAGTCAGATTACGGTCCTTCTGACCTTTGTCGCCAGACAAAAATATTTTTTAACCACTATTGTCCGCCGACTACAGTCCCTTCGACCACCATCACTTGACTACGATATTTTCGACCTTTGTCTCCCACCGAATATGGTTATATCGACCAAATAGATGTATCAATAGTAATTCTTTTAAGTCTCATCATGTAACACACGCTATATGATGTATATTTATTACATCAAGCTAAGGCATTCCCCCAAGGAAGGGTCTCATTTGTACTTGATTGTCAATAATAGTGGATTCATTCAAACTGGTTCAGGCCCCTTGATTTTTCCCCTTTTCAGGATTTTTCATGTAAAAGTCTTGATGCTCTTATGAATGTTGCACATTCTCTTTTTATCTAATTATGTGTTGGATTTTCGTACAAAGCTAAGATGTTAAAATTTATATTTCGCTATCGCCGCGAATATTCGAAGACGTAACAAGCATAAAAGTTAGATCATTTCCTAATGTTGGATTATGCAACTGGCAAGTTTATGCTCTTTATCCTTTTTTTATTTGTTTCTTCTATTTTCTAATATGATTTATCTCTGAATTTGTTAATAATTTCTCCTCCTACTCATTCCATTTTTCACCCTTACAGAGGTTAGAAAATAATCATGATTTTTCCAAAAACATATTTTATTTCTTCTACTACTGATTTTGTTTGGAGAAAGTTTCTAACAACTCACAAAAAAAAAAAAAAAAAAAAAAAAAAAAAAAAAAAAAAAAAAAAAAAAAAAAAATTAAATCTACATGTAGGAATTGATATTACGACTTGAGGGCTAGATGTAATGCACATTACTACCATTATTGAGGTTCTTCTCTCTCAAAAGAAAGCTAATGCTCTTTTTCTAACGTCTACTAAAATTCAAGGATACATCACCCATGAATATTTTGATGGCGTATTAGCTTATTTCTTTTTTAATGCAATTGCTCTATGCATTTCTCAAAAAAAAAAAAAAAAAAAATTTTCCAAAAAAAAAAAAAAAAAAGAATATTTTGATGGATGTAAGGGAATAATCAAGTTTGGAGATGTTCAAGTCTGTTCTATAATCATTAGAAAAAATAAGTAAAAAATATAATAATAATATATGTGAGATTATTGATATATTCTTTTCTATTTTTTCGATATTTTCTCTTTAGTGGATGAACATGGAAGGAAAAATCATTTATGTTGGAAAGCGAATTGGGTGACAATGCCAACATAAATTTCTAACTTATAAAATTTTTTACATGTCTCACATCTGAATTTTGATATTTATTTATAAAATACCTAAATATTAAAATATTTTAAAATTATTCTTAAACCTAAATTTTGGATTTGCCTCTTAATATAAAATAAATAAATGAGATAGAATTATCACTTAATCTCATAATTATAGTTATTAATTATTTAATTCTAAATATTTATTATTATTTTGACTCATACATTACTTGATGAAAAATTGAAAGTGAGATAGTTGAAGATTAAGATCATAAAGAAAATATATTATGATAATTTTAATTAATTTACTTGTTATATGTCATGTTCTTATAATTTTGTTATCCCCAAATTTGTGTGATCGAACTATGAAATAAATTTATGCATCTCAAGCTTCTATTATTAATTCATATAAATAAAAGAGTCTCTATTTTTGTAAGATTTATTTTTTTTATTTTTACAATTTAATTCACATGCACTTGGTTCATGCACGTGCAATTTTCATAGTCTTATAAAATGAGCAAATACAATAACATAGAGAGTTAGCATAATTAACTCCAAATAATAAAATTATTTCTTTTACACTCTTAAATTTGATAATTGCATTTGTGTTTCTAAATGTAATATTGGCAAAAAAAAGTTTTTAGGTAATTTATATATTACATATTGAGGCACAAATAAAATGATAAAATTACAAATAAATTTATTAATCTACAATTATCCGACTAGTAAAAATTGAACCAGATCGATCGATTTGATTAATTTAACGTGAGCTAGTCATAAGGCCGGCCCAGTTCATCATAAAACCTGCTTTTATATTGAGCCGGAGTGAACTGACCAAAACCCCCAGCTCAATCGATAAACCTATGTACCAATCCCGGTTTCCATTGAACCGGCTGGTTTAATAAGTCCTATAAATAATTAATAATTCAATTAATATTTTTAAAAATAAAATATTAGCATAAACAAATTAATTGTAAATTTAATTTACTTTAATTTCTTAATAACCATTAAATTCTTGCTAGTAAAATTCCAACCAATTATTTCACATGGCTGCATTATTTCTTGTGAGTTTCTATCATATATGAACAAAAAAAAATAATTATAACATACCAAGTAAGTTCCTAAGTGATGTGGGACTAAATAAATTGAAGCTCTTAAATTTACAACATACATTACATATTTTTAAATAGATTTTTTAATAAAATTTTATAAGGTAAATAATATTTATTTATTTTTAATACAATTTATTTATACACTAAAAAAACTAAATTTTAATTTATTTTTTTAATAAATAATGTAAAATGAAAATTTATAAATGTTAATTTATAATGGTGAATTTACTACATAATCTATACATGTAAATTATATCTAAATATATAATATAAATTAATAATATTTGTTATTAAATTTATAAGTTTATATGTGACTAAATTTATGTTAAATATGAATTAAATTTAAAGATTGAAAGTGAAGACTAATTGAGAGTTATAAGGGGATGAGGGAATTTTTATTCCGTCAGGTTACCTGATGTAGCTCTACGTCAGGTAGCCTATAATAAGTCGCCACGTGCTCTTACTCTTTACCCGCAGCCCGACGACACGACTCGGACCGAATCCGGGATTACTATGTTCGCGTATTGCTTGGTATAGGCTCGGTATTGCTAGGTATTACTCGGTATTACTTGGAAATAATGAGAAATACAGCTCTGTGAAGACCAATACCGTTGCATTTTTCATTTTTGTAGAGCAAAATCGACCAATACCTAGCAATGCCGAGCTACTCAAACTCTCCGGTCCGTTCCGGGTCGGGTCGTCGGGCCACGCGGTAAAGAGTAAGAGCACGTGGCGATATATTATAGGCTACCTGACGTAGAGCTACATCATGTAACCGGACGGAATAAAAATTTGGGATGAGGAGACTAGTCCACTTGATTTAAGAGGAGTTATTATATAAGGAGTATAATGACTAGGAGTTATAAGAGGCAACTAATCAGGAGTTATAAGTGCATGAACCAGATAACATCATTTGAATATTTGATGATTATTGATCACTGATTACTGGTATTGATTCAGCTTGATATTGTATATTGTTACTCATATGCGATTATAATTGATAGGCATATATGATTGAATGATTGATAAGAGTGAATAAATAGATGAACGAGATGTGAAATGTTTTAGAATGATTTTTGATACATATAACCATTATTATATAACATACATTGATGTATAAATTTTGGTATATGATTTACTGTAGCATATCATTCTCCTTCACATTGCATTGATTTCAGTTGTAGATTTTGGTTACTTGCTGAGTTATGCTCATTATGTGGTTTTTATATATTTACAAGAAAGGGTAAGAATTATGTGATATGATGCTCCATACAGCATGTGTAATTTCCTTTTAGCACTTAGATTTTATTTTATAGTCATGATGTATTATAGTGGTGTAGCTAGCCTTTTGTAACATGACTATCATATACATGACAATTGGGCTTATAATAACTATATTTATTGATGAAATACAGTTATGTTCTTTCTTTTGTTTATATGAAATTGTTAAGCTTTAGTTAAATGACTAAAATGAAAGAAAGAAGTAATTCTTCAATTGATTCTAAGTCATTACACTAATAGACCCATCTAAGGCCACCATATACTAAGCCTAAGTTTTTAATGTATATGGAAATAATGAAAGTCCCTTTGAACCTAGCTTAACTTAAACTGATATTATCAAACTAAAATAAACCTATATAGATGTAATAAGCTTTATAAACCTATTAGCTCTTAAATGTTATTCAAATTCATATATAGTGAATTTAAGAGGACTTCATTTTTAATTGACTTATTATAGTCAAATTAATTTTAAGGAATAAGTGAACCTAATACAAATTAGGTTAAACTTGAACATGCTCCGGTGTATGACTTAATTATAGAGATCATAAGTGACTATGGTGGCCCCAGGTCTTTAATTGAATTGATTTAGAGTTAATAAAACTTTAATTCTATGCCAAGGTTGACATGGCCTATTATCTAAATTATTGATTACCCATGGTTGATCCAACGTTATCAAATTGACTTATAAGATTTTCAATCCCTAATTGATTTAACTCATACTTCATTAAACCTTGAACATATAATAAGTGGATCTAAAATCTCTTAGGAACCTACCTTGCTTATTTTGGAAGCCAAAATCTCATATTAATTTGTAATCCAAAAATCAAGCAATCGACTAATCTAACATTAGGACATGCCATTATATGTAGCTTAGAACTAAAATATAATCTTTTTTATCCAAATCAACCCAATCACATCTTCACTTCTTTCTTTGATTAGTACTCCTTTCAAATCATCTTTATTGAGAAAAGAAAGGTAGTGAACATCAATGACAATGAAAAAGAAGAATTCTTAGTGCCCCTTATCTTCCCCAAGCACACAACAATTATCAAATCTCATAGGATGTTTTAATGGTGCACTTTTCTCACCTTGAACTTAAATGGGATACCCATGTAACTTAAGAGTATGAGAGATGATAAGAACAACAACAACATGGGGAAGGCGATATCATGGTTCTATTAGCAATTCATTTAAATAAGAGATTATTAGTCTAACCCTCTAGATCTAGGTCAAGGACTATCTTGAGGTAAGCTTGTTTTTTTTTTTTTTACTTTTCTAATACTTAGTAATGTGCCTTCCTTTTGTTATATCAAAAGAGAAATAATATGATGTTTTATTATTTTATTTGTAGAAAAATTAGTGTGTGTTGTAGCATTAGTTATTAGTTAAATATCCAAAGTTGTTGTTGTGTGCATTATTATTATTATTATTATTATTATTTGATATTATAACAAATCAACACACATAATATTTTCAAATCTAATAAAAAATAATATATTTTATTATAGTGTGTAGTAATTAATGTTAACTACTTCATTTTATAAATCGCTCATTCACCAAGTTTTTTATAATTCATTGTTTGTTAATTATGAATTTTATTATTAGTAGTACTATTTCATAAATGCATAAATTCAAGGGGATTTAGGCATATCCTAACTTTTATATATATAAGTAAACTATATGCGTCATTATAAAAAAATAAATATTTTCCATACGTTTATGCTTATAATCAATGTATTATGATTATAAACTTAATTTGGTATGAGTTTATATTATTGATTAAGGTTAGTATATGTGTGAGCCAAATTACATTAGGTTAAAATTACATTTGTATTGGATAGCTTCTTGTGGAATTTCAATTGACAATGGAGGACTTTATTGGCCTTGAATTGAAAATTGAGTAAGATTTATGATTGGATAAGTAGTGTTGCGTCCTGGAGTATTGCCACGGTAGAGAAATATATAGTTTAACGTCTAAGTATTGTACGAAGATCCAACACACAAGCAGATAAGTGAGATAGGGGTAGCATTTATAAGAGACACAGAGTTTTTACGTGGAAACCCTGAAAAAGGGGGAAACCACGGGGCCTGGCCCAGTTTGAATGAATCCACTAGTATTGCAATCGATTACAAAGAGCCCTTCATTGGGAGAAGGCCATGGCTTGATGGTACACATGTACTCATATAGAGGCATTACATAGTGAGAGTTACAATAATATACATGTTTGTTTGGTTGGAAGGGCCGTAGATAGGCGATAGAGGTCGTGAGGACCAAAGTTGGCAGGAGAACGGGGTCTGAAAGACCGTTGTCTGGCAATGAAAGTCGGAAGGATCGTAGTCGGCAGGAGACCGGGGCCAGAAAGACCATTGTCTCTTGATGGAGGTTGGAAGGACCATAATAGGCGACGAAGGTCAGAAGAACCGTAGTCGGCAGGAGACCGAGGTCAAAAGACCGAAATAGAAGGGTGGTACTTTGGTAGACTCTTGGAGTCAGGTAGTGGCCTAGTGGAGCTCGGGGCCTCAGTGATAGTCCGACGGAAGTCCGAGCCTCAGGAAGTGGCATGGTGGAGCATATGGCCTCAAATGGTGGCCGGTGGAGCAACGATGTCAGGCGGTGGTCCGGCGGTCCGGCGGAGGCGAGGGCCTCAAGTGGTGATTCGGCGGAGCAACGGTCAGGGAGGCGAGGGCCTCAAGTGGTGGTTCGGCGAAGCAACGACGTAAGGCGGTGGTCCGGTGGAGGCGAGGGCCTCAAGTGGTGTCCGGTGAAATCTGAGCCTCAAGTGGCGGTCCGGCGGAAAAACGACGTCAGGCGGTGGTCCGGCGGAGGTGAGGGCCTCAAGCGGTGGTCCGGTGGAACAACGACGTTAGGTAGTGGTCTGACGGAGGTGAAGGCCTCAAGTGGTGGTCCGGCGAAACAACGGCGTAGGGCGGTGGTCCGGCGAGGTAAGGGCTTCAAGTGGTGGGTCCGGCGGAACTCCGGCGGTGGTCGAGGAGGCAAGAAAGCAAGAGCGATCTCCGATCTCTCTCTTTTTTCCTTAGGCTTTTGGTTCCCTTTTCATGAGGAGAGGGGGCTCTATTTATAGATTTTGAGAAGGCATGGCCCGTAAATAAGTGGAGGATCAAGGGTTAGTTGGGAGTGGTATGGTACGGTCGATCTTGAATCCCTTGATCATGAACCGTTCGATGGACGTTTGAAGACCTTAATGATGTCGGAATTCGGCGATCTTGGGCTCTGTTGGATTTGTCTCGTGAGCCGCTCGATTCGAGTATAAGCTTGTTATGTTTGGAAACCGTTTGGTAATCCAGTTTGTGGTTTTAACTTTCCAACAGCGCTTCAGTCCTTGATTTTGACCCATTTGGATCGGATTGAGTAAAATTTGGGTCGTTGGGTCGTATTTTCCGAGACGCTCAGTTCGACTGTAAGTTTGCTGAAAATCGGAGTTCGGATGGGTCTCCAAATTAATTTTTGAAGTTTCCAATTTAATTTACATCGAGATTCGCGCCCGATTAAGATAATTTTTTGACGATGTATTAAGTAGCATGAGTTTTTCTGATGGAGAAAATTGATTCATGTAGCAGGCCTCATGACTTGTTGATGCTGTGTAATTTATAATGCAGATGAATCATTTATGAATACCGAAGGAACAGTTTGATATTTCATTCCTTGTAATTGTAGTTGATGGTGTTCCTTTATAAATATGACAGAGTTCTAATGAATATTTGTTTTTTTATATATATATATTATATATATATATTATATATATATATGTATATATATATATATATATATTTATATATAATATAATTTATCATTTTATTAATCCTTTAAAGCTTTCTAACATGTTCTAGACATTTGATTTTTTTTGATTTGGGCTTGAGTTGGACCTAATTAATTTGGTCCCATTGGGTATGCTCAATTTTGTTATGAGTTTGTTGAAATTGAAATTTAAATGATTTCAAATTTAATTTTAAAAATATTTAATTTAAATATACATCAAAATTAGTAGTTGAACAAGATAATTTTTGGCGATATGAGTTACTTTTTTAACGTAAAAGTAAAATAAAAAAGAGATAATCAAAATTAATAAAAAAAACTAACGCTATATTCCCGGAAGCATATCTTCTCCGTGACATAATAAACCCTGACACTCGTTCTCCCCCTTCTCAAAACCCATACAAACCCTCAGCGAAACCCTAACCTAAAACCCTTAAGCCCTGCCATACCAGTCCATCATACTCCTCACTCTTTCTTCTTCATGACCACCCGCAACACGGTCACCGGAAGCTACCATGCAAAAGCTCTTGCGCGAAAGCAGCCGCCTTTCCTTCTCCATTCCTCTTCCTGAACTCCCAATGACCGCCGCTCTCCGCCTCCGCTACCCCACTGCTTCCACTGCCGGCTACGGCCGTCAAGGAAGTCTCTGGCTTCGGCCTTCCTTCAACTATCGCTTCTTCCTCGACGTTGGCAGCAGTCGCCTCCTCCGGCGCGTATGGTCCCCGCTGCTCAGGCAGGCTCGTGAACCGTGCTCGTCAGGGGTTTTTGCTGGAAGTGCGGGGAGGGGATTTAGAAATCCTGAGGGTTTAAGGGGTCGGGAGAAGAAAGGGAGCACGGAAGATGCGGAGGAGGATTTGAAGTGTACAGAGAAAATTAGCGAAGAGGCAAACGAGAGGAGTAGCAGGGCTGTACAGCCGCAAAGGAGGCAGAGGAGTGGGAGCTCCGGAGACGCGTTGGTTGCTAGCGTGGACCTTTTGAGCATCCCGGGGGTTGGTCCAAGGAATTTGAGGAAGCTGGTGGATAAGGGATTTCGTGGTGTTGATGAGCTTAAACAGTTTTATAAGGACAAGGTGTGAGCTCTTTGTTTCTCCATTTGCTTCAAATTGTTGATGAAATTAGCTCTTTTTTTCAGAACAAATGTGGTATTGATGCAGAGGATTTAGGGACTGGTTTGTTTGATGGTTCTGTTTTAGTGTTTGCATGACATTTAATTTAAGTTTGTTTCACATGATGCTCTTTATGCTTGATACTGGGTTCTTCAATTTCCATTTAGCTGAAATTGTAAAAAAGATTAATTGACTTCTGAATTAGTAAATGTGCTGGCTTTACTTGCTTATGGATCCGACATCCTAGCTGTACATCTGATATTATATTATTATTGCAAGCTTTTTCTGATTTACCATTGGTATTTACTTTCATTTCACCAAATTAAGTTGGTATTTTAATGAAACATATGAATAAGTGTTGACCTCGTTTTTCATGCATGTACTCGCGGTCTTTATTGCTATTTTTTGATGTGATGATTTAAACTTTTCTCCCCCAAATATCATAACTAACTATGAAATAGCCATCTTCACTTCCCCTTTTGTATGCCTATTAATGTTTTTTGTTAGGCCTAACGGATACTCCTTGGATGCTTCCATAAAGGAATTTTTTTAAAATGATGCCACTGAATTATTAAGGATATATAAGAATGCGTTCATGGTGATGAAGTTAATTTATGGTTCTATAATTGTATACACTAAAAAGATTACACAGTTGATTGCAATTCATATCTTTAACATATTGATTTTCTCCTTCATGTCTGTAGTATTATGGCAAAGCCAGCCAGAAAATGGTTGAATTCTTGCAGAGCTCTGTTGGGATCATTCACAAAAATCATGCAGAAAGTATAACATCTTTCATAAAAGAGAGTGTTGATGAAGAATTAAAACAAGAGGATCTGAACACTGACCTGAAACCTTCGCAGAAGAAAAGATTGACATTCTGTGTTGAGGGAAACATCAGTGTTGGAAAGACAACTTTTCTGCAAAGAATTGCCAATGAAACAATTGAGCTACGGGATCTTGTAGAGATAGTGCCAGAGCCCATCTCTAAATGGCAGGATATTGGTCCAGATCACTTCAATATTCTTGATGCTTTCTATTCTGAGCCAAAGAGATATGCATACACTTTCCAGAACTATGTGTTTGTAACTCGGGTAATGCAGGAAAGAGAATCTTCTGGTGGTATCAAGCCACTAAGGCTGATGGAAAGAAGCGTTTTCAGTGATAGAATGGTATACTTTTTGAACTGATGTCATTTTTGCCTTTTTATTCTTTCTAACTAGGGCTGCAAGTGAACCGAGTGTTCGACGAGCTGCTCGTGGCTCGGCTCGATAAGGGCTCGTTCATGTTCGTTTGATAAATACTCGATAGCTAAATGAACGAGCTTGAACAGCGCGTTGTTCAGTTCATTTATTTTCACGAATAGTCTCGCTTAGAAGCTCGTGAACAAACACCTCGACTAAGAAGCTCGATTAGAGCTCAATTAGATTTTTAAAAATAAATACTATTTAGTCTACTACTTTAATATTTTTATTTTTACTAATTTAATATTTTAAAATTTTCCTCTCCATTATATATTTTATTTTATTAAATCTTGTATTCCCGCCCTCTCTCTCTCAATTCCCGCCCTCTCTCTATATATTTTGCATTTTTTAAACTCCTGCATGCTCTCTCTCTCCTCCATGGCATCACCAAATAAAAAAAAAAGTATGCGGTTTAGTCCCACATCGCTTGTAGAAGAATAAATATGCTTTATAAAAGCAAACTCATGTGGCGTCTTGGTGAAAAGCAGGCAGCTGGTGGGGCGTCGGGTGGGTTTTAAGGGTGGATGTAAAACGAGCTGCTCGATTGGTTTAATGAGCTGCTTGACAAGCAGCTTGGCAAACAAACTCGAATACGAACTCGAACTGGGTTCGGACATGTTTTTTTTAAATGAGCTAGAGCTTGAACAAGTGTCCAAGAAGCTCGACGAGCTTCGAGCCAAGCTTGTGCTCGATTCTGACAAACGAGCCCGAACTCGAACAGGCCAAAGCTCGGCTCGGTTCGTTTGCAGCCCTATTTCCTACATAATTAATGTGAGTATATTTTTATGATTAATTGCCTTTTTAGCTGTCAAGTTAATTCTTTATTTGCAGGTATTTGTTCGATCTGTTCATGAAGCAAATTGGATGAATGAGATGGAGATAAGCATCTATGATTCATGGTTTGATCCTGTTGTCTCATGCCTGCCTGGACTAATCCCTGATGGTTTCATTTATTTGAGAGCTAGCCCTGATACTTGCCACAAAAGAATGTTGCTGCGAAAAAGGGAAGAGGAGGGTGGTGTGACATTGGACTATTTAAGAGACCTGCATGAGAAACATGAAAGCTGGTTATTTCCCTTCCAAAGTGGAAACCTTGGTGTACTTTCTGTTAGTCAATTGCCCTTCCATATTGACAATTCATTGCATCCGGATATAAAAGATCGTGTATTCTACTTAGAGGGTAATCATATGCACGCGTGTATTCAGAAGGTATTGTTCTCAACCAATGTCCTCAACATCTATAACGTGTTCTTGTAATTTGGACATTAATGCTCGGTTTATGATCAGGTTCCTGCTTTGGTACTGGATTGTGAGCCCAACTTAGATTTCAGTCGAGATATTGAAGCTAAAAGACAGTGAGTATTACACTTCCTATTTAGAATTCTCAACCTTGAATTGCTTAATTTTGATAAAAAAATCAAAATAATGATATATCTCAGGTGTCTTCTGAAGTATTCTCAAGTTTTCATAAATATGACATACAGTTATAAGATTTGTTAAATATGATTAATCGCAATAGATTTTTTTTATTTGAGACTTAGGCTTCGTTTGAGGCAGTTTTTTACTGCTTCTTAAAGCAGTTTTTTAGTATAAAAATTAAAACTTTTGTACCAGAAAGCTGCTTTAAGAAGCGGTAAGAAAGCTATCCCAAACAAAGCCTTAAACATCACACACTTGGTGCTGATAAGAAAAATGATGCATTTACTAAAAAATAAGCTGAGAGGGAAGAGACCACAGCGAAAATTTAATTTTGACCTGCTGCTTATGATAAAGTACAAGGTTAATTCGGACGTTTATTGCTACCCAAGTCACTAAATCCTCCATCAGATGCTGCCTCATGAGAAGAGCTGCCATGGCATCCATTCCCCTCTGATTTTACTTTTCTAATTTTGTGAAGGTATGCGCGGCAAGTTGCAGAATTCTTTGCTTTTGTGAAAAGAAAGAAAGAGGAGAGTCCTGAGAAGAGCACAAATGCAGGATCCAGAAACCAGCAAATTCTTCTTCCTGGAAAGGATGGCTTATGGGTCCCTGATGGCCCTCCCTTTCCTGATTCGGCCTTGAAATCTCTTGATTTCAGGAGAGCCATGTCATCATTCATGCCTACTTAGCTGCTTCAATGTCAAGTAGTGCCCATATAATGAAAGCCTCTCTGCCCCCAAGAACAAGCTTTTGCAGAAGGTATTGTTGACCTTCGTATGTACAGTTTTTTCTTCTATTAGATGTAAGGAGATCAGTTGCTAACAGACCATTGATGGTGACTTTTGTCTGATTTGTGTTCCTGATTTTGGGAATGTGTTGTATTGTAATGTAGAATGTAATTACTAGCTTGGTTTTGAGATTTGGATCATCCAACTAACATATTTGTATGCTTAATTAGTCGTCCATCAGTTTCTGGTTGTAGTTCTATTATTCCAGGCTTATGAGAGTTGCACTACGCTAGAGATTTGTTTTGCTTGAACTAAGCCTCGTTCTCAGTTCATCTTGTATAACAGATTCATTGCTTGATTTGCCTTCTAATGTAAGAGAAATTATTCTGTGCGGGGTACGGGCGGGAAGTTCTTGTTTGGATTGTGAGTTTATATTTGTACTAGAATAGGTCTACAAAGAATCAAAACTAAGTCGCCTTCTTAGAAAGCTCTATTAGAGACTATTACATTCTGTGCTAGAGTTATATGAGACTTATATAACTCGATGTTCTGTTGAGTTTTCAAACGTTTTTCTTCTAAACCTTTGTGTTCTTTTAACTGAAATTGGTCCTTTTGCTATGGGAAATTGTACTTGTAAAGGGAGAATAATCTTTGCTCCAAAGATTAAATGAATGATGTAGATTTAGGCTACGTCGTCCCTTTCTTCCTGCTTCTTAAAGTAACTTTCTAGTACAAAAATAAAAATTTATGTACTAAAAAGTTGTTTTAAGAAGCAGTAAAAAAGTTGTCCCAAACGAAGCCTTAGTTGGGGTTAATCACACAATTTGATGATTAGATTGAACTAAATGTGCAATTAGATTGAAGTGAGCAGATACTTTAAAGTTAAAGAGTGTTAAAATGTTGTTAATAAATTTTAAAGAATAGTTTTTCTATTTTTTAGTACTTTTTAAAATGTAATATGTTTGAATTGTTATGTACATAGGTGTTCATAATGTGTTATTGCATTTTTGTGTGTATTTATAAATGTATTTTGTTATAATGGTTTTAAATTTTATAATTTTTGTTGAGTGACTTACAAACTTGTTAAGTATTTTGTAATTTTGATATTTTCTAAATTAAGTTCAATTATATTTTATTTATTGCAATACATTAAAAATGAATGAGAGTATGCGGTTGATTAATATATGGTAGCTATTATTGTTATGGAATTGTGATAATAATTTGTGTAAAAAAAATAAAGACTAGTTATTCACTGACATTAGCCGAAGATTGATTGACTTATACATGATGGTGGCCTTACTGGTTAAGAGTTATAAGGAAACGATTATTATACCGACTTACAAAGAGTAATGACTCTATTTACCGAGTCGATGATTTTTTGATATTGATATGATATTGAAAAAATTCTGCTTAAAAAAAGGACTTCATACTTGTTTAGTGTGACTATTAAAATGAAAGCTACGGATTCATTATTACTATATAGCTTAATGATACTGTATTGATTTATCATCATTGTGGATTTACTGTTATTATATTGTTTTACTATTAAGACCAATGAATTTACTAGTACCGATATAAATACATATATTATTATTGAAATATTATGGATACCACTGTTGATTCATTGTACAAATACTATGCATGTGACATATTGAACATGTAATATATTGATTTGATATTGATATATAATATATAGATAGTATGTGCACACTCTTAATAATTTTATTGCATTGATATAATTTTGACAATCTTTAGTCATGCTTTAGTTTAATTGCTTTATACAATTTTCTTACTAATTAATAGTATTGATATGAATGACTATATTATTGATTCGACTCTCGTACTGATTTATTACAATTTTTTTACTGGATATGACAATGAGAAAACCCTAGATCTTATAGTTTTTTTTATTGCAAATGCATTAATTGGGCTATAATTGATTTGGATCAGTTTTTGGTTGACCCTTATTGGGCCTAAGGAACTGATGTGGTATCGTTTAGCTTATGGTGTGCTGCAGGTTTAGGCTTTGGGGAGTATCTCTTCTTTTACCGTTAGAGTGCTTATTCCCACTACTTCCATAACTAATTTTAGTACTATAGGACATTTCTTGCCTTTTTCTCTGTTATAGCTTTCTTAGTATTACTCCCTGCTCATATGCGGCTGAGAAGTTTGGGTTGTAGTAGACTTTTTGATTATCCAAAACAAAGTTGCTGCGTAACATTTCTACTGTTACATTGGCTTGCTAGTTCTCTGTTTTCTTCCCTTGTTTGCTTCCACAGCAGGAACCAATCGGTGGTATGAGCCTCTAATTATCCTCTTTAATGGTTCAATTATATTTGATTTGATTTTAGTTTGCTATCAAGTAAATTAATTTGGACTATTATCTCAAGTTTGACACCTACCTATATGCAAGATCCCCTTAGTTCCTAGACCTAATTGGTCTCTTTCGACTAATTGATGCAACCATATCTTGCCATTTTCCCCCAAAAAGTTAGACAAAACCTAATTGAGTAGATTGAACCTTGGATTAACCCAATAAGATCATTTGACCATATGTTAGCCCAAGTAGATCATTTGACTAAATGAACCTGAACATGCAAATGGTCCAAATTGATTGAACCTAAGCTTAACATTGCTTGCCAATTTAGCCAATTTGCTCACTTGAACCTCTTAGATCATTTTTACCAATTTGACCAAATTGAAGCATGCAAATGATTGACACATTCCAATTGATTAACCATATTTGATTTGATTTTAATTGACCCTTGTTCATCCTAATTTAGTCAACTGGTTCGGTTGACTTATGTTCACATCTCTCATTTAAACCCAATTGATCAGTGTCTTAACCCAAATTGTCTTAAGATTCAAGTTAGCTCAATGTAAACCTACACTTGGCCCATTTGGACCATTTACTCAATTTAATCAAATTGATTGAATTGATTTGTCATAATCCCTCATATTTATTGTAATTGATCAAATACACTTCAATTGAGCAAACCGACTCATAGGAACGACTTACGTTAAGCTACAAGCTAATTGAACCCATATGGGTCATACTTGACCAATTCGGATTTAATTTAAAATTCTAGCTTTTTTATGCACTCAAAGCTTGATTAAGTTAATTAGGGTTTAAAAAAAACCTAATTTGACAAAGAACCCAAACTTATTTAGAAAACAATAAAAAATTGTCCCAAATGATGCATAAATGACCTATTTTGATAAATCTATCAGACAAATATTATCATCAAAATCTCATAATTTTGATCTCATATTCATCTCATAAAATTGATTTGTCTTGATTATAGGCTTTTTTTAATATTACCGTTTATTCTTGAATAATTTATTGTAATATTTATTAGGGTTTTTTAAATAAAAAAAATTCCTTAACTTTTTTATGAAGTCTCTACTCCATTTGTCTTCTTCTGACTTAATTTTGCCAACATGAAACACTTAATGGTGGAATACTTATTTTTGACTTTAAAAACACTATGACTTATTAACTCGTCAAAACTTGTATTTTTTTTATTGAAATGTTCTTTTGTATTAAATAGGCATCTCATAAACATTTAATGAGTTTTTTCACTGTTCTTTGTCATAGAAAAGAAAAAAAAATGGTAGCTATTGGTTGGGATTTTCTATGATGTGCAGCTATTGTAGAAAATTCCTTTTGAGAGATCAAAAGATTGAATTTTTTTGAGATGTTATTGACCTGAAAACCTTTTTTAGTCCAATAGGCTTTTGAGTTATTGTATTTTTGTTTTAGTTATTTTAATGCTTGGAGGAAGGATTTCTTTCAAGAACTTAGACCATATCTAACCGTTCGGCAAACAATCGAATGGAGGCCCTCAACGTCCCAACCGAACACCTTTTCCTCCGCCTTTTCATCTGAGCCATTTTTTTGTCTCTACCGAACTTGCTGAAGAAAGACGCAAAAGAAGAGAGCGACGGTTAGGGGGCAAAATGACGTTCGATTGGAGATGAATCACAACACTTTTTGGTTTCATTGCATTTTAGAGTGAAAAATGAGATTTTCGGTTGGAGATGCCCTTACATGTGACACACCATAAAAATGGAGCTCTAAGTATTTGTGGAGCCTTTTTCTGATATAAAGGATATACCCTAAATTAAGGTTTGGGCTTTTGATTAAATGATGCTAGATTTTTTAAGTAAAAGTGTGTCTTTCCTTAATATATGTTTGAGATGTTTGTATCTTTTTATCAAGATTGTTGCAAAGTTGTTGTGGAGAAAACAGCTTTTTTGAATACCGCTGTAAAAAAAACTTCTCAACACAAGAAAATATTAGAAGCAGTGCAAATGCAGTGAACAAATAAAAGTTGTGGTCGTCATCTAAAAAGCAAGCTACTCCGAATGAAGTCTTGGGTTAGGGGTGTCAATATTTGACACGACCTGAAAACCTGATTTGGACCCGACCCAAAAATTTTGGTTTCGAGTTGTCCTGAACCCGAACCTGGTCAGGTTTGGGTTAGAAATTTCGACTCGTTTGTAAAACCAAGTCGGGTTCGGGTTGATCTGGAATCCCGAAATCAACCTGATATGACTTGTTACCCGCTATGTCTATCCGTCGAGTACTCGAGTCCCCATTAGGTCAGACTGTTTGTCCGTTCATCGTGTCTTCATTAGTCGCGGATGCCGAGTCCCCATCAGTCATGCTGTATGTGTCCGGTCAGTCGTCCATCTGCGTCAAGCCCGCAGGGCATTGCAGAATGCCGACCTCGTCTATTGTTGCTGCCATGCCGGCCTGCTGCTGTCGACGTGCAGAGTCTGCATACACAGTACTAGGTTCCTTGATGGCCTGTCGTGACCATCTGTTTGCCGCTGGCTTGCCATTTGTGCGCTTCTACGGCATGCCATTCACACGCTTCTTCTTTCGGGTTCCAGGTATTTCGTGTCGGGTTGACCCGAACTCGAAGCGGGTTGGGTTCATGTCCAAAAAAATTGACTCATTTTCAAACAGGTTAGGTCAGTTCTAGGTTGGATCTGAATCCGACCCGTGACTTAATTCTGATAGCCCTATTTTGGGTGACTTAATACTTTCTGAAGCAGCTTTCTATTACATAAATTTTTAGGACAAAAAATTTTGTATTAAAATGCTACTTTAAAAAAAGAAACGAAGCCTTAGTCGCCATGAAATTCTTATGGAAGGCCAATCCAATTTAGCATCATAATTCATGACCGTTTTACCCTTCTTTTAAGAACAGCTATTCTTCAAGAACCTGCCCTCTAAAGCAGACTAATTCATTTTGACATTTTTGAGAATAATAAGAAATCGCCATAATAGAAAGAAATACAT